GGTGCAATTCCCACACTGTGTCACTGGTGTTGTCCCCCGCAGGGCCATGGGTCAGTGAGGGGCTATTAGCTATTTTAAGTGGGGTTGAAACATAGTGTTAGAAATTTTCCAAATGATTTGTTTTGTAATAAGATGAAAGAAAGAAAAAAAGACATTTATAAGTCTTGATGAGTTTCTAACCCAGTCATTTTCTGAAGCTACTCTTGTTTTCTGACCCATATACAGAACTAAAGTGTTTGGGTTTTGTTGTTGTTGTTCCTGAAATGTCAGAAATATGAACTTGGCAAACAGGGACAATCACTTGGACTTAAGGGAAAAGAGACAAAATGTCTTTATTAAATAAACATTTATACACACTAACACCTATATTCATCTATCCAGGACTTGGAAAGAACTCTTCACCTCAGATAGAGCCAAGCTTCATCACTCTTCTAAGGAACTGGACATAAATAAAAAGTGGATGTTAAAAGTTCCAAAATAAAACCAAAAAGACTTAGAAGACAGCCATAGATAGATCTATTTTAAGAGTGAATATATTTTCTAAAATTGTTCTGTTTTAAGCCCTTTTTATCCTTGAGTAAAGAAAAGAATATTAAAAGGCTCATCTTAATGGAAATTACAGGTAGTTTGGGTTTTGCTTATGAGTCAGTTGTGGTTAAATCTGGTCAGCTCAAAGGCCAAAATTTACACTTAAATTGAAAAAATTACAAGTGATCATTAGGTCTGAATTTCAGTGCTTTCCTGGTTAGATTACAGCATTTTCACCTGTCAAATATTACCATTTTCTGATTTGTCACTGGAGAAGATGACTACAATATTCTGCCACATCTGTTATCCAAGTCAGTTTGGAAAAAGAAATTCTCTATCCTTTTTCTTTTAAATGAAGCATAATTTCTGCTATCTTAAAACAATGCTTTCCATTCCTCTTACCCCCATCCATTATTTTTAAAAAGCATCCTATGTATTTGAAGTCCCCTAGTCAAATAAAACAAATACATTTATTCAAATATATGAACTCATTATAATGTTTGTTCCTCTTTCTACTATTGAAATGGTACTCAGAGGATAAATAGGCATGCTAGAATCTCTACTGCATCAAAGATCATAAACAATTACACAAAAAGAAGACTGTTTCATCCTACTATGTCCCTTATGCTTATGATAGCAATTTTATGTCTCTGATTCCATTATTGTATATTAAGAAGAAAAGTACCTGTCACACTTACTAGAAACCTCTCTCTGAAGTAATGCGGAAGGAAAGAATGAAAACTGGCACAAGAACCTGAGGGCTGAAATTCTTGATTCTGGTTCTCTAGGTTTTAGGCCCCGAGGGTAGACATGGTCATGGATAAGCATATTTCTACAAAGACCCTTCTCTCCGGATCCCCCCATGCAGCAATCAGTAGAGGTGTGAAGCTAGGAAAAGAGGCAGGCCAAAAGCAGAGAAGAGAGTGTAAATAGGAAAAATAAAAGCAAGTGAGTTTGGCCAACAGTTGATATTTCAGTAAATTTCTTATTATAATATCACAATCTATTATAAGTCCACTTAAATATTTTTCTTAATTTTTTCTTTTAAAATTTCCTTTACGGAGAAAAATGCTAAAATCATTATTCTTGTAGATGGAGTAAAAGTAACATTAGTCAAACACAGATGTACTGTCATGTATAACATTAAGACTGGTGAGGCCAAGAATCGCCTATCCTCAATCTGTATTCTTTCTCCGTAGCCCTGACAGCTGCAGCAGGGAGGGGCAAACTGGAGGTGTGCCGCCTACTCTTGGAACAAGGAGCAGCAGTCGCCCAGCCAAATCGCCGAGGAGCAGTGCCCCTCTTCAGCACTGTTCGCCAGGGCCACTGGCAGGTAAGCCGGACAACTACTGCAATCCCTAAGGCAGGAATGAGTTCTAGGTAGAACTGCTAATGCAAGGGCGGGAATCCAAAGTTGAAGTTCATTGCATAGACGTGTATACTAGTCCTGTAGAGATCCCTGTCTTTCTCCCAAGGAGCCTTGGTGATTTTGAGCTGCTGACCTTGCAAATCTCAGCCCCTAATACATAACCTGTAGGCCGCCACGGTTCCTTCCAGTATACAAGTCTTAAAATGCTCAGCCACTTGAGTTCAAAAGGGCAGCATGTGCCCAAGGACAGAATTCAGAGGGGGAGAAAATGGGGGATGTATGGAAACAGAAAACACGAAGAAAGTGAAATACGTGATTTTGTATTGTGGAAATTGCAATAAATGAGAGAAAACAAAATGTGTGTAAATTGTTGAATGGAAAACTGATTTGCTCTGTAAACATCCAGTTCACATTAAAAAGTTAAGGAACAGCCAAAAAAGGAATTCAAACATTGGAACCTTGGCTTTGAACCCTGTCCCCTTTCCACAACTGTCAGGGGACCTAATGAATTCATACTTCTTCCATGTCCAGATCCTTGATGATTAGGAAGTAAAATAGAAAGCAAGCCCAGATGTCATTTTTTATGACACGACATAGCACATTAGGTGACCAACCTCATGTGGGTTTATCACTGTCAGAGTACCTACTAAACAAGGTTAGCATTGACCTGTGCTTACTTACTAATCGGTAGTGAACAATTTCACAATTTTTTTTCGCTACCTCAAAGGGGAACTTTGTTGTAGTTAATTGTAAATGCTTGGTATCTTTATAAACTTGAAGGTAGGGCTCTTCTGTTAATCTAATTAATTGAAAATATAGGAAAAAGTTAACATTTAAAATCATTATATGTGGAATTAGAGAATGTTTTGTTGTATATATTTTTGCCATAGTTTAAAAAATGCAATTACAAAAAAAATACGATTACATGAATAACACTGAGTACAATGAAAAAGAAAATGTTCTACAATTGACTGGTGATGATTGTACAGCTCTTCTTTATATGATTGAATTATTAAATTTATGACATGGATGAAGTGATAATAAAACTTTTTTTAAATCATTGTTATTGTTGATGTTATATAGAAAGACTGACTACTTTGTCCTATCATGGAGTGACCTCCTTATGTTTCACAGGATCCATAGATTGACTCCCTAGAAGTTTTATTTTTCTTTTTTTTTTTTTTTTGAAGTTTCATTTTTCAACAAATCCCTGCTAACCAATTGCTTATAGGTGCTTCATGCTTGCTAAAAGAAAGTGCAATGCCTGAAAATTCTAGTTATATGATCTTTTCACATATTTGGATTTAAATAAATATTAACTTACATACTTAGACTGGAAAACAAAGCATATGCTTTAAAAGTATTTGAGTATAAAAAGGCTCTAAAGAGTTATTAGTGAGACTTGTTTTCCTCTGATAGCTTAGTTATAATCACTACAGGCAGATTTGCTACTCCTAGAGCTCAGTAAAATGATGTGACGTGTTATATTGGAGCTTCCAATAAGGTATTGTTTCAGCTACATCTTGGTATTGTCTTAAATTGTCTTTCACTTTGTGGCTGAGTCAGACGTTAAGAATTGAATTCTTCTCGTTTGGCTTTATTTGAGAGGATCAGGAGTTAATTTGTGGCACAGTACTTGTGCACTTGGCTGCTAACTCAAAGGTCTGCAGTTTAAACCCACCAGCCACTCTGGGGGAGAAAGATGTGGTGGTCTGCTTCTGTTCTACTCTGTGCTGTAGAGTCGCTCTGAATCAGAACCAACTCTGTGGCAATGAGTTAAGATTTATAAGAGTTAGAGATTAAATCACATGTTACTGGTTGTATTAGTCTGGGTACTTTGGAGAAACAAATCCATGACGACTCATGTATGAGAGAGAGTTTTATGTAAAGAAAAGGTGCATCATGAAAACATCCCAACCCAATGCTGCCCAAGCCCACAAGTCCAACATTAACCCATTAACCCAACACCAGTCCACAAAGTCTTC